GGAGCAGTTGGGCAGGCAGGTGAATTCTTGGTACATTGAGCTGCTGCAGGCAGCCAGGAGCAGAACCCTAGTAGCTGTTGGGATACACATCTGGGAATCCTCATCATACAGGGGTAACTGGAGCCAGCAGAGCAGACAAGAAGAACAGGGAAGGTGTAGAGAAGGAGAGAGCAACACAGATTCTGAAGACTACCACCTCTGGCTTCTTTTCTCAACCAGGTCTCTGGATTTGTGAGTTATTTGCAGCTTTCTTAGGAATAAAATCAAATGTCCCTTTTCTTTACACGTTGCTCAGGGAGCAGTTTCAGTGGAGAGAAAAGGAAGCACAGCCAGCAGCTGGTGTGAGGCTCAACAAAGCTCCTGTGTTTGTTTCCCAGGGACAGTAATCCACCCCTCTCTGCCCTGGTTAAGCCACCCTAGAAGCATCCTACTTCACTGGGTGCTTCGACTGGTCAGAGTGGAGGTGGGAGACAGTGGTGGCCTGATGGAAATCACTTACATAGACTGCCCGCCTGCTTCATGCCAGGTGCTTTATACACGTCCTCTCGCCGAACCGCATTGTACCCATTTTACAGCTGGGGAAAGCAAGGCTTAGAGAAATTCCAGAACTTGCCTGCAGTCCTACAGGGATTAAGAGGCAGAGCTGGTGTTTGAACCCAGGTGCTTAGTCTCTGGAGTCAGCTCCTGCTTGCCGTGGGGTGGGGGTGCTCTTGAGGCCATGTCCCATGAAGAATGGATGGAGGATGGGGATACTTTGTGAAAAGAAGCAAGGTCTTAAGGAGAAATAAGCTAGAGGGCATTCACCTATTTAGAAGAGGTCTTTGACGGGTCAGAGGACAGATGAGTAGTACAGCTTCTGGTAGGCAGCAGTCCTTTTGTAGGGGTAGGGGAAGGGACAGGAGTAATTTTTCTAACTAGGCTGTTTGAACATGGAATAGGCTCCATTGCCCGGTGTTTTAAGCAGAAGCTGAGACCATCCACAGGAGACACTGTATGTGGATGTTGAGGGGGGATTCCATTATTGGGCGAGAGATGGATCCCATGCTTTACAGATTCCTTTCAACTTTTACTCTGTGACTCTGTGTTTTGAAAGGCCAGCGTGCTCTGTGGTTGGGAGTTGATTATAATTTGTAATACTCTATTCAGCTTTTTCTCAACAGGGGAATTCGGGAGGATAATTATCTTCCCTAAAGTAAAATATATCTTAATGGGTCATACAGGAGTTCATTTGTTATGATACCCAGCTGACTTTTTAAACAGGGGATCCTTTCTCGTACCGAGTTTAAATTTTTTTTTTTTTTTTTTTGTCTTTTTTCTGTGTCCGGCAACGGATCGCAACCCTCAGTGTTGCCCCCGTACCGGACTGGGGACCGGCGACGGGATCGCAAGCCTCGGCGTTGCTCCCGCGCCTCGCTCAGCCAGTGAGCGGGAGCCGGTCCGTACGTGGGATCCGAACCCTCGGACGGGAGCGCCGCCGCGCCTCCCAAGCGGCGCACTATCCAGTGTGCCACCGGGCCGGCCCCGAGTTTAAATTTTGAAGCCCTAGAATCTTCCAGAATTCTCTTTTATTTCTTACTGCAAAATAATAAAAATAGGTAACGTTGAGCAATACAAGTATGCTAGCCACTGTACAAAACACTTTTCAAGCATTATTTTATCTATTTTCACAACAACCTCTTGAAGTAAGTATCCCATTTTGCAGATGAGAGAATGAAAGCAGAGGGGTTTACATGGGCTGTGAGGTGGTGGTGGGCTGGCAGACATGATGGTGCTCTGGAGTGGACCCAAACCTGCCCTCCTCCGTGTCAGACAGAACTTGTCAGCAAAGAGCCTTGGCTGTCCACATGGTTTTGGAAGTCCCACAGTTATGCAGCTCCATGGCAGGTCGGCACCACCTCTGTTTTTCTCTTAGGTGGTCCCCAGCCATTGTTTGACACTGGAGCTCTGATGGCAGCTGCTTGAAGTTTGCAGGCACAAATGGTCCATGATCAGATAAGGAGGCCAGCTCTCCCACCCTGCTTCTGAACAACAGGAAGTCTTCCAGAATATTACTCCTGGGCCCATCACTCACAGGACTTTCCGCAGAGGCCTGTTCTGTTGACTTTCCCAGCCTTTGTTTTTCCTTTCAGAACATCACTGGTAATTGCACCAGGACCTCTCCTCCTCTTCCTGTCCCTCTCCCACCTCCTCCCCCTCTTCATTAACAATAGGTGAGGGGGAGAGTCTAGAGGTTTCCAGCCAGACCAAGAAGCCTTCTGCCCTGTCCTTTGTGAGGAGAATTACTGCCTGAGACCCATGGGGAAGAATCTGTCCTCCCCACCCTCTTTAGTTGTTTTTTAATTAAGACCCCTGGCAGATGGCCTAGTTGCAGATCATTAACTGTGGTGGGCATCCTGGCCTGTGTTTTCCAGGGGGAAATGTAAAATGTAGCTAAAGGTTACTTGTTCAATTATCTTGTCTACTTAATAAGCATATTGGTTGGAAAAAATACATTTTTTTCACTGACTTATGAAAGTGTTACATGGCCACGTTAGGAAAAGTAGGAAAATACACAGTAGAAAAATTAGGAAATAGCGTTGTGTGTGAAAAAGTCAATCAGTTCTCTAGAATCTCATCACCTAGAGAATAAGAATGGTTAACCTTTTAGTCCATGTCCCATGGATCACTGTTGATGAAAAGCTCTGCTTGAGTCAGACCTGGGTTATAACTGGCCTTTCTGCTTGCTAATTATGTATGACTTGGGCATCTTAACCTCTTTGTACCTCAGTTTCCCCAACAATAAAATGGGAATAATAGTAATGCTCGCCTCACACTGTGATCATGAGGATTCAGTGAGAGAATATTTGTAAAGTCCTTAGTACAATGGTGGGCATGATAGTGCTTGCTAAATATTAGCTGTTATTATCAGAAATGGAAATAATGCAGAACCATGCTGTAGAAATATGGTGTTCTGACACCTTTTGCAATCATCAGCTCCAGGAACATTGGGTACGTCATGCTCTGTCCTTCCAGGAGACTGAATTGTGCCTGCTTCTTCCCATTCAGGACCTGGAACATTTCAGTAACGTATCAAGGAGGTGAGGGAAGTCCACACTGCTCTTTCCTGGCCTCCCCTGGAGTGCAGTGCTCCTTCGAAGGACAAGCCAGAAAGGAGAATGTTGGTCATGCTGGACATGGCCCCGGTCCTCTTGCCCGAGCACATACCTGCTTCTTGCATTTGGCAACTCCCCAGTGTTCCTCTGGGAGGCCAGAGTATGTGGACACAAGTTTGGTCTGACTCAAAATTCAAACAGAAATTGTTTTCCAATAATTGGTCCCAGAAAGAAGCTGACTTCCTGACCCTTTATGATAAAGCTTTTAAATATAAGCACATAAAGGAAACATTAATGCCCCTTGATGTTTTTCATTTGTGCAGCCTTTTTGGATGTTGTTTAAAGCATTGGTTTGCCTTTAGGTATAAAATACCTAGTCGAGAAGAAATGACAAAACGGTTGACATGAGTCCAGAGGCCAGCACTTGGCCAACTGTCCTTCTGCACATTATTTGTGTGTCTTTCTTCAATGTCTAGAGATGCTGGCTCTTTTGTTTGAGAGTTTATTCCATGTTCTCAGTTGCTGTCTCTGTCTATAAATAAGTTTGCATTCAGTGAAATGCTCCTCATCTCCCTTGCAATGTCTGGGTTGTTTGAGGGGATAAATTAGCTTTTCCCTGTAGCTTCTGACAAGCAGTACGCTGAGGTTCTTTAACAGTTTGCTTTCAGTAACTGGCACTCCTGCTAAGGCAGGAGAATGCTTCCTGAAGTTTCATGCTGATCACGGCTGCATAATTCTTCCTAAAAGAAAACTTGGCACCCAGAAAGCCATCGAAGGAGAGAGAATATTTTTCCACACCATTACAACTCCATGGCTTTGTGGGGTAAATGGTTTCTGGAAGGGGGAACTTGAGTAAATAGATGGGGAAAAGGTGTTTAAATGGGTCTGGGTCTGGAGGCGGGGTCTTGGGAAGACCTCAGTTACCCTGTGTGTCTACACATCAGGCGCCTGAGGAAATGTTGGGGAACTAGCTGCAGTCTGCACTAGCACACAGCCTTCCCACATAGCTGAGTTTGTTTTTCACATGTCAATTTAGCTTTTTACAATTAGCTCCCACTCCTCATTATTTATGGCCCTGATGAAAGCTGTTTTTATGAATCATGTCAATATTTTTGTTGATATTGGTGTGTGCGTGTATTTAATGATTTCTAGGCTGCTAGAAATTTTCTGGAACTTAAATGCATTTTCTAGGACTGCTTCTAACTAGCTGTGTGCACCTGGCCAGGGACCTTATTATTATTACCTGAATACTGAAGGATTTGGGCCAGGTGCTAAGGGCCTTTCTCCCTCTGGAAGTGTTCTTGGTGAAGGATGAAGAGGAAAGACATTTCAGTTACATTTGGGTAAAGTGTGTACAGTTGTTGAATTCTTAAAGGGCTGCTGGAGTGTGGTGGTATTTGTTACCAGGTTTCCTTTTATTAATTTCATTTTGTTCCTTTGGTACCTTGGCCCAAGCACTATGGCCTTGACAGACTCAAGTTTTATACCAGGTGTTTCCTTCTGACTTAACATTCCTTGAAGCAAATTGAGTATGTTAATGTTTCATAAGTCAGACTTTCCAACTCCTTAATCACTGCAAAGTTCTTGGCTGAGTTCCCTGCAGTCTTTATGTTCACTGTTTATTATCGAGGGTTCTCAACTTTTAGAATCTGATTCAGGCATGGTTTTGTTAGAAACAAATGTTATTGTGGTTGGAATAACCTGGAATTAAGTAATATATGGGAAAAAATGTTGATGCATATGTCCTTACTTGGCTCATTGAATTGCCTGTCTGTCAAACTCTTATTTAAATTTGACTTTTAAGTAAAGCGCTTTGGAAAATTGAGCTGAGCCAACTCTTTGTGACTTTTTTTTCCCCTCTGAGCATTTCTTTCCTTCTAACAATGTTGTATATTTTACTTTGTCTAGGATTTTCGAGAAAGACATGTCTGATAAAATGTCTAGTTTCCTACACATTGGAGACATTTGTTCTCTGTACGCGGAGGGATCGACAAATGGATTTATTAGCACCTTGGGGTAAGAGCATGCGATTTCTTGTGTGGCAGGATTTGTTTAAGACGTCATAACATCAGCTTAAAATTGTGATTTTTGTAAGATAAGGATGTTACCATTTTACTTAGCTCTCCAAGGGCAGTTGAAATCATAAATACCAAATCCCATGTTAGCCTCATTTAACCTCTTGCACAAAAACACTGTTCTCTGTCACTTCTGAAAGAACAAAACCTCATTAGTTAGGACTCCATTAATTCAGAATTTATTATAATTTGCTTTTCCTCTCTCTATAAGGGGAAAGTGCTAAGAGTATGGGATGAAATTTAAAGATGAATATAGATCCCAAAGAAGTGCTTTTATTAATTCAGAATTTATTATAATTTGCTTTTCCTCTCTCTATAAGAGGAAAGTGCTAAGAGTATGGGATGAAATTTAAAGATGAATATAGATCCCAAAGAAGTGCTTTTTAGTTTTGTAAAAGCTCCTTTTTTCAAATAGTGACTCATTTGTAACATAAGCAATGACCAAGACTTCTCAAATGCCTATCTCTTCTTTGAAGCAGAACCTTTCCCACTTTAAATTGCCATATGCATTTGAAAGTTACAAATTGCA